GAAATATGCAGATGATCTCACTGTATGCATGCCTATCTCTTTTTCTTTACATCCCATAGAAATGAATGAGTTTTTGTCTCGTATTGATCGTTGGTCTGTTGTTAATGGTCTCATACTTAATCCGTCTAAATGTCAAGCTGTTAACTTTAGCATGAGACATGATCGGCATTTAAACACCATTTTGAGATCCCATGATTCTTGTGCCATTGGCGACTCTTTGATAAACACAGTGTCAACGGTCAACTGTCTTGGTGTTACCTTTTCCTCTGATCTCTCTTGGTCTTCTCACGTTTCATTGTTATCGAAGAAGGTTTTCCGTCTGACTTACTACATTAAGAGGTTGCATGCTTTTGGGATCACTCGTCATTTACTCCTACAATTTGTCAATTCTTGCATATTACCTATTATTCTTTACTGTTCTCCGTTATTCTTTCCCGGGCTTTTGAGAGAAGACTTTGCTGTACTGCGGAGAGCGCTGAAGGCAGTTAGCAAGTTATGTGGTGAATCTTTCGAGACCATAATTAATATGATTGTGGATAGACATCTAAAGTCATGCAAATTCCTGGCAGGTGTTATTTTATCAGATACTAACCATCCCCTTCACTCATATCTTTCTCCTTGTATATCTTCTGGTAGAACGAGACGAAATTACATTGAAATCCAAGCACGCGAGCAAAAGTATGAACGTTCTATAATACCTTACCTAGCAAATATACTCTGTGAGGAACAGATTGTTAGAGTTAACCTAGTCAATAATCTGCATTCTTAACATGACTAATTGAAAATTTGTACAGTTTTTTTCAGATTTTTTTTATTATCAACCTTTTTTTCTGCAAAAGAAACTTGTTGAAATATTTTTTGTGCTGAGAATTCTATATTGTACCAAAATATAATATTGAATAAAACCATAAATAAATAAATAAACAAATGAGTCGTTGGAAATTTATTTGAACAGTTTTCCATATGACAAAACAAAACCAATTACAATGTAAACTCAAACCGATGGGCGACGATTAATGGAAGTAACTAAGAAAAAAGATAAAACTGAAGAAAAGGAAGAGAGTTAACCAAAGTCAGTTATTTAAACTTTGAACAGAAGTGAGTTTTTTTTAAAATGAGCTTGAACAATAAAGGATGACGTCAACTGGATTACAGTTCCATTCCATTAGCCAACTTTTCATTAGTATCACTAATGGGATTTCGTTATATGACAAACGTCCACGAAAGAGATTGAAAAGGTTGAATTTAGTTCGTAAGAACGATAAAAAACAGTTAAACTAGAGTGGTTACAGATATTTGATCATAATTGTTTTCAAATTACTGTTTACAAATTGCTGACTGAAGAATGAGCGAAGAACTCCAAAAGTTAAAAAAATGGTAGAATGACAAAGTAAAATCTGCTTATCAAGTCATGAACTTGTCACTGTCTGTGGTACTTAAACAACATTTATTTTATATTTTTCATCTACCGCTGGTTAACACCGGAACAAGTCAAGAAAAGTCTGGGGTTGCTCAGATCAAGTTATAATATCATTTCGTAAAATAAATAACAATTTTTCTTTGGCCGTGTAATGATATCAATATGTTTTAGTCACAAATATAATTGTAATAAGGAACTGAAGATTTTTCTTTATACCGTTTTAGTACTTCATTGAACCACATATCAAAATAATAGGAAATATTAATCAACTAAATTTTAATTATTTTAAAGCTAACAGCAATCTCTGTTCATAGGGATATCATATTAATCTTTATATTAAATACTGTTTACTTCCATTTATAATAATATCCGGTCATATACAATAAAAAAATCTCAAAAATTGATTACTCGCTTGCTTAATTATATAGTGTTTACATTGTACTGTATAACAAATTGTCATGATATACATGTTTTATATTGGGCAATTTTATATTGAGTGAAAAAAAGTGGTTTTATGTAACAAAGTAACATTTATAACATAGGAATAAATAAATTACTAAGACATAGATAGATATGAATGTTGCAATTTGACATGTTTATTGAATCGAACTCAATATCTAAGTCATTTCTATATTATTCAAATGTTCACAATATCCTTAATTTTTTAGCATATTTATCTGCTCATGATCTTTACTTATTTAATCTGAAATTTTTTAAAAGTTCAATAAAATGGAGCACGTTTTCAATGTAAATGTCTGTTTCGTAATTACTACAATTGTAAATAACTGTTAAACAAACCTAATTAAAAGTATTCTGTTTTTGATTGGAATAGTTATATGCCTAGTTACCATTGATTAAGTGAATATCAGTAAGCTTTTCACATTACACACATTGTTATATTTATTGTATTCTACGATGATTAATACTAATATAACCACACTAGAAAAACATGTCAGTCAAATTTTGATTACTAGTTTCAGGGAAATAAGAAACTGGTTTATATCTCAATGGACGTTTTCATTGTTTAGTGTGTTATTTGCGGTTGATATTCTGACGAAAGATGTTAAATAAATTACTGTAGCATGTTGACTCAAATTGTAAATACGACTAACCATAAATATTTTCATTACAAGCTACTTAAACCCTTGAAAATACACATATAAGAGTATGTTTCAAGTGTTAATGTATTCCAATGATTATTGAATAATTTGTTGTAGTTGAGCTATTTGTTTACATACTGTACAATGTATGCATGAGTATGCTCATATGAACACAAATGAATTGATGCTCATTTTCTACTCGCTACTTTGATTCTTTTGTCTTCATTTGGAAAGAATTAAATAATGTTTAGATATTTCACTTATTTCATAAACATAGTTCCTTTTATCATTTTGAAAAGAGCAAGAACAAAGATTCTAGGAGAATAGCATGAATTCATTTTATTTGGTTTGGTACTCATCAGCTGCTTACAACCTGTGATATTTAAAATCATAATTACATAATGGGTTCAAATTACTTACATGAAAGGGTTTGGTTGGAATTTATATTGAAGACACATTAGTATAGTATAGCATTGATTGTTGTTAATATGACTAAAATAAGTTTTTAACTACTATTGATAATTTCCATATCAAATTGATTATCTTATATTTTGTCCATTAAAAGTACATGAGATATATATATTCATTTTCATCTGTCTAGAACATTTATATGATCAAGAATAATTATATTAAAATAGAATATATCACTCAACATCAGAGAATATCAGACAAAGAAAATTGAATAGTTTACAGTAAGTAATAAATGCGTAATACTAATACTAGTACTAATAATACCACTAATACTAATAATAATGTCTAAGCTACTTATAATTTAGTATAGTCAATAATGACTTTCTTATTAAAATTAAGAATTCATATATTTATATTTTATGATGTCTGATATAGAATTTTAGTACATATTTATTAATATTTTATATGATAATAAGTTATCATTACGAGTAAATATAAGTAATATGATGCGTGGTAACATAATTTTGTAAACTAAAAGAAAAAAATAAACTAGTAAATAACTTTTCTGTTCAAATTTTTTTAAATGTCTTCACTAAAAAAATGAGCATGCCTAATTTTTAATCATCTAAATTATACTTATTAATTAATATTTTAAGACCTCTTTTACTTACTTACCCCTGTTACTCCCAATGGAGCATAAGCCACCGACCAGAATTCTCCAACAAACTCTATCCTAGGACTTCCTTTCTGGTTCTATCCAATCGTTTTTTATTATTCTCATGTCTGTCTCCATTTCTCAACGTAATGTGTTCTTTGGTCTTACTCTCCTCCTTTGGCCTTCAGGATTTCAAATGAGGGCTTGCATTGTAACACAGTTGGTTGCTTTCCTCAATGTGTGTCCTATCCACTTCCAGTGCTTTTTCCTGATTCCTTCCTCCACTGGGATCTGCTTTGTTCTGTTCCACATTAGGTTGGTGCTGATAGTGTCCGGCCAAACGATCCGAGGTTTTTCGCATAGACAACTGTTAATAAACACTTTTATCTTCTAGTTGACGGCTTTCGTAGTTCTCCAGGATTCCGCCTCATACAGTAGAACTCTCTTGACATTTGTCTTGAAAATTCTAACTTTAGTGTTGGTCGACAGTTGTTTTGAGTTCCAGATATTCTTCAGTTGTAAATATTCTGCTCTTGCTTTTGTGATCCACGCATTCTCATCTACATCAGATCCACCGTGTTCATCAATGATGCTGCCCAAATATGTAAAGGCTTTTGTATCCTCTAAATCTTCTCCGTTCAGTGTGATTCGACTGGTGAATATTGTGTTGTATCGGAGAATCTTGCTTTTTCCTTTGTGCATGTTGAGACCTACTTCTGCTGAGGCTGCTGCTACACTGGTCGTTTTCTCCTGTATTTGTGTGATAAAAGACTTCTCTAGCTTTCGACAGAATAAGGATTATCCCATTGAATTTATTTTACGAAATTTTCTGCTACATTATTAGTAGACTAATTATATTTATAATCATTTGAAGATTACAAAGAATAATATAATTCCTTATATATAAAAGGATACATATCATAGGGTATATGAAATCCCATCCGTAAATCATGATAGATTATTTGGTAAACTAAATGGTTAATGCTTGTTATGTTCACTGGTGCGTTTATATCATAAGGGTATTAGTAACAATTATTATGGCCAAATAACTAAATTATCAAAAATTAATATTAGATAAAGGTGATATTTTTCATTTTCATTTGGTTTCCTAGCAATGTTTAGCTTCACGATATTAAGTGCAATCAAAACATTTATATGTTATCTTTATTATTATATGATATGCGAAATAAAAGTGCATGAACTTTTGAACATGAGATACAACAGAAACACAAGTTATTAAACTCACAGCTAGATTATAAAATAATTTGATATTTTAAATAAAGATGAATAGTGGCTAGCAGTGGAATCCAGGACACGTATTTCGTCAGCTGGATGTACCTGCAACTCAGAGTTGATGTTCACTATCCGTCTTTGCTTATAGTGCTTGTGAGTAAAGGCAATACCGTGGTAATATGCACAGTATGCACATATGACAATAAGAGACTGATCTATTGCAATCGTAAATATCAATGGGACGATTCAAGTAAACAATACTAAATGAATTTATTTCGATATTTTGTTTAGAAAATAAAAGCATATTCATTTAAATTTAATAAATAAAACGTTTTTTTTTGTATTTTTATTTTGTTCTTACAGAACTGTTAGAGAATACTTAATTACTGAAAGTGATTCAATCCACTACTACTCAATGGATACGCCTAATAAAAATGACAAATTACTTTTAAAAAATGAACTACCAAATGTTAAGCAAAAAATTTATCAGTTTAACAAAATTGCTTATAATTATATGTTTAAATCACGCAGTAATATTCCAATAATTAAGTTGAATAATAATGAATTTCCTTGGACAAATGAACAATTCTATTTGAGACCAGTGAATAAAACACTTAATCTTTGGAATTCTAATGAACAACTAAATTCAAAGTCAGTTGCTATGCCAGATATAACCACCTTCTCAAGCATTAACAAACAGCACAATCATGAAAGATTTATTGATTACAATTATGATTCACTTTCAGTTAAAGGCATATACAAACATATAAACCATAAACCTAACCAACTAAAAAATACTTTATCAACAGATAAACAATATAAATATCACAAAACTAAACGTGAACACTCATTTATAATTTCTAATTATCTAAATGAATCAAATAAAGATTCTTCTCAAACTGAACAAAATCAGCTACTGATTAGGAGAAAATTAGAAAATAAGAAACAAGACAACGACAGCAACAACAATGTAACTGTAGATGAGTTTATAAATAATAATATAACGCAAAATGTTAACCTCTTGTCTGAACAGTTCACGCTATACGTTTATAGAAATTCTAATCAAAATTTAGGATTTTCAGTATCACGTAGGTTTTCAGATTATAAATTATGATTAATCAATTGTTTTTTATTCAAAAAATGTAAATAAAAAGTATACCACTTCAAGTTTAATTTAGTTTTTATTCTTTTTTAAATATCGATATTTTGTTGTATCATGCTTTCGAAAATTTGGTACTTGTCTATACCAAAATTTATTAAACCAAGCATTATTAATCATTTCATCAAAAAGAAAAAATTTTCTTTTAGTGAAGGAATTCCAGATTCTCTATGTAGAAAACTATTCAAGTTATCACATGATTTAAAAAGACCAAGATTGGAAATATTTTATAACCTCACTGATGAACTCTTTCACAAGAATAAAAGATTTGATATTGTTTTACTTTCACAACCATATGTAAGGCTTCTTATTTATTGGGAATATATCTTCATAATCAATTGATCTGTAAAACCACTAGAAGTATTGCCAAACATTTGAAGCACTACTAACAATCTGGTCCAGTAAATATGTTCTGGGATATTTTCAAATATTATATTTAAGAATTACACATTTATGCAAGTAATTTGAACCTTGCAGTGAACTTCCGACAAATTTATCACTATATATATAACGGAGTATGCAAAAGTATTACACTTTTACTAGACAGAATAATATAACTCTTCCTTGTTTTTTATTTTGTAATCTTTTATATTGTAGGGTCCTACATAAGATAACATACCTCCTGGATTTCACCGCTAACTGCATTCCATTTATTTTATGTAGACGTTTCGCTGTTATTAGTGATAATACCGAAAATTAGATTCTTATATAAAATTCAATAGATATTCTATTTGAAATCGTGTTCATTTAGTTCCAAAAGTGATGTTTAAATGTACAGTTAACATTTAAAATATGTGATATCGTTTTTTCTTAATGTTGAAGATAAACTAATTTGATAGCTAAAAAAAAATGAATATCAAGTTTACTGATCATTGTTTCAACTAAATTGAAACGCTTAATTTATATGAAGCATTTAAAATTAATTTTTCTACAGTTTAACTAATATCAAAAGTTAAATATTGTCCATTTCTAAATGAGCAACTATTCTAATGATTTTGAGACTGATAGGTTCTGGATTCGAATCTTATGAGGTGAGATTGTAGATGCGCACTACTGAGAAGTTCCATATTTTTCATGGTGGTTTAACGTAAATTACCTCATGAATTCAACTAATAAATTAAAATAAGATAATCAAGTTTAATTACAATTCTGTTACCAAATAAGAGAGTTATAACATATTCCTTTTAATAGTAGATTATATCATTTGTTTTTACATCACTAATTTAATTTTTTTATTAATAATTTCTATCCTAAAATTCAGACATGAATTGTTCTGGCGACAAATAATATCGATTTTTTTTATTTTTAAGTGATTTATTTCTTTTTATATTGTTTTCCGAAAAAATAAATAAATACATACATATGGTAACAACTGTTGTTAGTTCCTTTATTGTAAAAAAAACAAAACAAATCAATACAACCTACAAGTGAAAATGTTTAGGCAAATTAATGTTTATAATAAATCACAAAGACAATATTTTTTCCTTTTAATTCATTAATTTAAATTGTCTTTTAATGTGAATATAAACTAACCTTTTTATTCATCATCATCATCTAAGGTCAAATGAACAACTGATTTGTGTATCCAACCTAATTTGTTTTCTTAATATTTATTCTATTTATTTACATCAGTAATATAAGGAATAATTTCATTGTGTTTTCTTAGTTGTAAAAAAACAATAGTTAATAAAGGTTACTATAATAAACTTTGTACAATTCAAGTTCTATGATGTATAGATGAGAAATAATTGATTCCTTATTAAATAATACCTATTCTGAATATAATTAAAAACATCACATTGTAATACAAAAGGATAGTTGATATTCAAAATATTAATAGCTTATTATTTGAAATGAAATGATTTGTATAGTATTTTGATTGAACATTTATCATGGGATTATCACTATGGTGTTGTGGAGATTATTATGTTTTTGATTAAAAGGTTAAACACTAGCGCGCAAAACCGAAGGTCATGGGTTCGAATCCCACGAGCGGGATGGTGGATGCGCACTACTGAGGAGTTCCATAATCGGACGAAACGGCCATATGATGCTTCCAGGTTTTCACTGGTGGTCTAACATCAACTGGTTCATGATCTTAATAAAAAATATCATGGAATTGTAAATAATAAAAACCCTAAGATATATGGAACACACAATCTGACATTGAAATATTTTAATGTATAACATTATTTAAGAAATACACATTATATAAGTCACGTATCTTGAATAGTTCATAGTACCTATTTTGTGGAAAACATAAATACACTTTAAGAATGGCATAAATAAAAAGCCATGTGAGTTTTGAAATGATAGATACTTTATCTTTGCCATGGAAAGTACATTACGCAGTTAATGTCTTAGAGTATAGTTTATATGTTCAATATTAATTGAAATTCATTGATTCTGTTTAGGGGGAAATTGCATTGATATTGTATAAAATATTCAATTCATAAAAAAGAAACAAGTCTTTTGAAATATCACCATGTGAATAATAATGTCGGTGTATAATTGATTTTTCCATTCTAACTACCAATCAAATAATACTCATGTTTTCTGTAGTACAAACTTACTTTAAACTAAGTAATCTCCATAAACCTATTTCAATGGGACGTTTTAGGTGTACATCTTGTATGAGGTAGTTCCATCTATTAAACATTTAAATAACTGTTCATATATCAATATAGTCTTTGATCGTTCGCCCGATTACTTGCGAATGTAAAAGTATCAGATCAATCATCCAAAATATTTGATTTTTTTTGAACACCTACTGGCGTGTTGTTTTACGTGCACACTTTTGGGTAGATCAAACATCAGTTGTTGTTTTTTGCTTCAGGTTTGACTTCATTATTCGACGAAACTTGGAATTATTACATAGTCATCAGTGATATTCAACTTTCCAATAAAAACAGTCGTTTACAAATTGGGGACTGTATTTTATCAGTAAGTATACAGTGTTCAGCTTCCATCATATATATATATATATATATATATATGAGTTCATTCGAAGATAGTATTGAGAAGTATATTTGGGGGTGTGAAGTTGTTAAATGAAGTCAGTAGTAGTTGTGGAAGCTTTGATGAGTTTCATGAGATTGAGAAACTTATCGCATGCCATATATCATATTTCTTAAATACCTCATTATACTGTGATTCGTTTTCTAACAAACAGATATGTGACCCAAAAACGTGAATATTATTAACTCCTTGATATATCTGCCCACTTATCTGTGCTAAATATATAGTCACAGAGAGAGAACTGTCTCAATTTAGTTTAAGGTCTTAAAGCGATAGGATACTTAGTAAAGAATTAAGACTTGAAATTCGTGATTTCGACAATCACTGAACATCCTTAATGGAAAAATGAAAGAGATATTTTTGTCACTGACCTATGAACTGACCGGTTGATTAACGAACGAAAAGAACAGCAACTATCATAAAACGTTTCTAATGCATATGAATTAGCATGAGTACAATACATAAATTAGGGTATCAAGTATAAAACTAGGTTACACATTAAACGAAAAAGACTCTGTTCGTTATTACTTCATTATTTCTCTCTTTTCACATCAAGTAATAAAAACAAGTCCACTTTATGTATAAAGTAATTTATGTTTTTGTCTAAAAATATTAGCGAAACTTTAATAAAGAGAGAAAATATGCAATAATAAGTTTATATTGGAAAAATAAAGGGTAAATTTAGTAAATATCGTTTAGTTAATTTACATTGATCTAATCATAATTACTATGTAAATACTGTTTACTAATCAAACTTAACCTTTTTTTAGGTAAATGGAATAAATTTAATTAACATGGATTTAATGAAATCAGTTCGATTATTAAAATCAACACCATTTCCAATTCAATTAAAAATACAAAGGTTAAATAAAATTAATTTGGTAAGTTATAAACTTGATAAATTCATCTAGAAGTATTTATTATACTATTAAAAACTATCTTATAGAAATATGAATATCTTAGTTTTATGCAGATAATATTAGTTATAATTAAAATTCTACCATAAAATTCTTATATCTTGTTTATTGATAAATATTCTTGTGTGAAAGGAAAACTTTATTGTTGAAGTTAGAAATTCTTTATGAACATAAACTTGCTTACGTACATAGTAACTGTTGTTACGTGTTTTTCGAAAGAACTACATTTTATTATTGTTACTGTTTTTTTTCATATAGTTAAAACTTCGATATCAAGTTATTTACAACAATTTCAAACCCATTTCTATCGATTTGTAAAAATGATTTTAAAAACTGTTAATCAATAATTGATATTGGCGACATTTTTATGTTATTACGTAATGAATAGTAATAAAATTCATTGTCTATTTAGTCATACATAGGACTTATTTTTCGAAATTATTTTTGTATCAATGAATGTCTTTATTTGCAATAAGGTTTAGTGGCCCGTTAATCGGACTCTAATTTTAAAGAAATTATGAAAAATTCATGAATATATATCTTCGATTTAACTCTGTATATTACGCCTAGGTTAATACCATTTGTATGACAGTAGTGACAGGACAAATAATACTTATAATGGATGGATTTCTTTCAGATACTCGTCTACTCAAACAAACATTAACGATATGAAGCCTAAAATTAAAGTGAAGCGAAAAAGGCAGGCGTAACTACTCCATTTGTTAAAACCTGATCTCAAACTATTTATAATCAGACAAAAATAATTATAAGACGTGATAAATAGCGTAAGCAAAACAGACACGCTCGTATAAAAACAATCAAGGTTATAAGCAGGTAATTCACTAGGTCAACATGTGACTCAAGATCAATACATTAATTGCCTCGTCCAGTATCTAGTGTAGCCTATATGAGTCTGATATAGTACTGGAAACTACGTAAGCTTCAACGCAGTATCTAGTAGAGTTATCGTTATAAAAAATATTCTAACTGAACACTTACCATAATGCACGAGACAAATATATATATATATATATATATATATATATATATATATATATATATATAAGCAAAGATGGATAGTGGCTAGCAGTGAAATCCATGACGCGCGTTTCGTCCTATTTGGGACTGGTCAGCTGGATGTACCTGCACCTCAGAGTTGATGTTCACTCTGGGACTCGAACCCAGTACCGTCCGCTTCAGACGCCATCGCGTTATCCACTCAGCTACTGAGTCCTGATAGCCACTTGCTTGTGCGATGGGTTGAAGTTTAATTCACTTGATATCGTTTTACTTGAATCTTCCCATTGTTGTTAAGGACTGCAATTTATCAGTCTCTCATATTGGCATATGTGCATACTGTGCGTATTGCCTCGATATTGCTTTAATTTACAAGCAACAACAACTCTGAGATAAAGGTACATCCAGCTGACGAGTCCCAAATAGGACGAAACGCGCGTCCTGGATTCCACTGCTAGACACTATCCATCTTTACTTATAATGTTTGTAAATTAAGGCAATATCGAGGCAATACGCACAGTATGCATATATGCCAATAAGAGACTGATCAATTGCAGTCCTAAACATCAATGGGAAGATTCAAGTAAAACAATATCAAGTGAATTATATATATATATATATATATATATATATATATATATATATATATATATATATATATATATGAATGCTCAAAATCCCTAATAGTATACATAATTAACAAATTGTAAGGAAAACATGCCGTTCCTCCTGGATTTCATTCACACTCCTTAAATCAGCCTATAAATATGAAATTCCTGTTTATAAGGTTTTATCATTGTTATATACAAAACAACGAATTGGACTTTTCGTGTCATTAGACATCAAAAAGAAGAGTTTTTTCTCAATGATACTTTAGTTGAACAATATCTCTATTTTACTACAGACTACGTTGTATAAAATTAATTAAAAACACAGTTGTACAGCTTGAGTAAATGATATCAGCGAGAAAAGAAATTTTTTTGGCTAAACAACTTTCGTATGAAAAAAACGGATAAATTCGGTCTAGTAATTTTATATTGCTCATTTCAAAACTAAATCTTGTTTGTTACTAATATATTGGAATGAATACTTTATCTATAATTTTTCAAGTTAACTGATATTAACTGTGAAGAAGATTTTCTGTCAGTCGATACAGATGCAGATGAAGAAGCTGAAATGATGACGAAGATTATTGACATGGCACAAAATTATACTTCTACTAAGTGCACAAAAATCAACGAACAACTTGACCTGGAGGTAAGTAAATGCACATAAATGCTCTCGTTCACTTTGAATTATTATTAACGAATTGAACTAATGTAGTCAGTATTTTTTGGGATAATAGAATCGAAATAATTTTAGGAAATCTAGTTTTTCCCTATACATATACATATGCATACACAATTGTTCCATCATATCTTTTCTATCAGTGGGAAGTGTAAGTATAAGCCAGTTTTTACACTGCTCTGATTAGTCTTAATCGATCAACTAACTAAATAGTGAAATTAATCATCCTTATTTCAATTTTTAAGAAAACATTAAATTGTTTCCCTCTACTGTTATTTTTGTACAGAAATTCTATTAAGAAAAGAGAGAAATAAATGTTTACATTTGTATAATTTATCATATACATAAGTACTAACAATACTTCTTTCACTTGTTTCTAATTACAAATCTTATGATTTTAACGAATATCAATTTCTAAAGAAAATTCAAATAACAAATACAAGCTAGCAAAATTATAAATGAGATGTCAATTCATTTCTCACTTTTCAACCAATCAATGACTAATCTACATTCAAGTAAAACTTAACTATCTTTTCTATTTCTTTCGTATGCTTTCTTCATTTATTTCAGTGTATCTTCATACTGCTTTACTAAAAAAAATTTCGAGTATTTCTGTTGAAGAAAACTTATTTACAAGCTGGGATGATAGTGACTAGCAGTGAAATCCATGACGAACGTTTCATCCTATTTGGGACTTGTCAGCTGGATGTACCTGCATCCCAGGGATGACGTTCACCCCAGGACTCGAACCAAGTACCATTTGCTTCAAACACTATTGCGTTATTCAATTACTTATTGAGTCAAGCTAACCAATAGGTTGTGCGATTGGGTGAAGTTTAATTCATTTTTGTGTTGGTTACTTCAAACGTACCATTGATATTCAGGACTGCAATTGATCAGCTTCTTATAGGCATATGTGCATCCTATGCTGATTGCTTCGATATTGTCTTCAGTCACTGCTAGCCACCATCATCTCAACTTACAATGCCTGAGAGTCATTGGTGCTCACGGCTCGGGTTTTTTATAATGTGAAGACGCAACATATCAGGGCACTGGTATTTATTGGTCATATGTCTATGGTCATTTATTGATCTAATCTATATTCAAACGATTTTATTCATTTTTTTAATGTTCAATAAGAAATAATGAAAATATTTATCCATACAGTATCGAGAATGACAATAGTTATTACATAAGACAGAAATATATATTGATCTCTTATATGACAAGAAGCACGAACATTTTAGGATAAAATGAATCCATTTTGTTTCACATTCTTTACAACCCTTAATATACACACTAAATGTATAGATAAAATCATTTATAAGTGCAGTTACTTTTCTTTGAAACACAATTTAATTCAGTTTACTAATAAATAGTAATCTCAATTTCTTTTCACATCCATACAATATTATTGGTAACGGGATAAATAAGAGGGATCATATCATAATCAGGAATAAGAAAAAATATGCAAATTAAGATAGAAAAATGATAAAATTATTATGATATTCATTACACAAATCTAATGATTAAGAATTCATAATACTGATGATGATAATAACTATCATGGTTATAATTCAAAGTGGTATGAAAATTCTGAGGGGATGCAAATAACTAAATAGTTACATGTGTGAGTGGTTAAACAAATTTGAAACAATTATGGTAATGAAGATAAGACTAATAATATTAATAATAATAATAATAATAATAACTTTCATGGTTTCAGAGCGAACTGATGTTGGCTAGACTATCACTAAAAACGAGGATAGATTGGGCAAGCTGTTCCATCTTATTACGGAACTCTTCAGGAGAGTCCAACCACGATCTTACTGAGTATTGCATCAAAGACCTTTGGTTTAACTGAGAGCGTCTAACCTCTGGACCACTGAGCTGTCATAAAATGGTAAACATATAAAATTTGAATCGGTTCTCGATAGTAAGCGACTATTTTCCGCCCTCTGATTTGGATATCTATCATATTGTATCAGTTATATGATGTCAGTAATTTATGATCATTGGAGTAAATTTCTTCCACGTAGTCGTTCCATCGTAAGATCTTCATTTACATTTCACCACGTGACTTTGACAAATAGTATCGTGTAATTACTGATGTGGTCCGATTGGATTTTAGATACATTTTAAGTACGTCACATGATAGGCTTCTGTCGACTGGGCCCAGGATCTTCATACTCGCTTATGAACGTTTAACCTACAGATCATTGAGCTAAGATCTGATAGTGTGGATGTTTAACTTTAATTCATAATATCGCACAGCCGCTTTCTGTTACGAGAATGGATAACTGTTTCACCCTAAAGATGGTTCATGATTTAAACTATGAAAATTCTAAAATCTCCAAAAATTCCTTAACAAGAATAATACCAATGATAATAATGTTCCTAATGGACATGATAAATTTACTAAGATGTTCGATTGGGTTATCACAATTAAGTGGAATCTGGTGGGAATGATAAAAAGAAAATATAAAGCTAAAATATTGAAAAATAGCAATCACTAAAGCATTCCGAAGTTATTTTTTGTAGTCATTGTTCATATTTCATTACTATGGAAACTAATGGCATTGTAGGAAACAAAAGTTTTGTTTCTATGTTATCATTACTTAAACATATACATCTGTATTCCATTGGTATTATGTATGTAATAGTCTAACTGCACTGACATGATGTTTATCAGAACCGTGTAAAGTATTACTATCATAAGTGTAACATGTAAAGTTTTCTATGGTGTATATGGAATACATTACAGTAATCAGTGAGAAATATGAGATTACAAGTTGTGTTCTGAAATCAATAAACGCAGTAGGAAAGGTTTTTGATGAAGAGTAGAATAACATTCAGCTCCAAAAAGATTAGATGCTCTATCCATACAAACCTTATATCAATAGAAAGAGGTAGTCACTGCGTCCATAAAGCGTTAGTTGAATAGTGAAGTAAACGTGAAGCCTCACAACACGGACTAAATTAATTTAAACAAATATCAAAGACGGAAAGCATTATATAACCGTTTCGTCCAAGTTTAAGACTCCACAGCTCTGGGCACATGAATCTATCAAGGCTCAAACATAGGATCTTTAAGCATTATAATAAACATTCAATGTTCAGACCTATGTGTCTTCAAAAACAGTTAAAAGTTTACAATCTGGTAAGAGATTATCAACTTTCATCCTTCTGTATCGCTAATCAAAAAAAACGACATGGTTAAAGTACTCATCGAAAACCAGATTTACTAGTATTATGTAGAAGAGAAAATACTTGTTTTCTTGCGGAGTCTAGCTATATGAATATTCATAATGTCTTTGTGAATTGAAAACAATTTGCACTTGCACTGAACCCAACTAAATTTTAATCTATAATATCATAGGTGTCGTTTGCTCAATGTTACCTGAATATCCATAATTTTATCTTTAAATTTATTTCGTTTCACTTTTTTATTTATTATGTAACTACTCTAGCTAATCTAAGTCTTATTAAATTGTTCAGTACATACGTATGGCTCTAATACATTGAGAGTTATCGAAGCCTAAACGGTTTTATTTCTTCTCATTAGCATAATCTGTATATTGGATGCACAGAAATTAAATAACGATTCATAGATTAGTGAGAATTATATCCAACTACGTAGAAATTGCTTACGAGGTAATCTTTCAATACGATTGTTATAAAGGGAAAGCAGAATATGAATAGATATAGAAATCTTTAGTTCTAGTATTAATAATTATCGATCCAGGATTCTACTCCTGAAATCAGTATAAGATGAGGGAATTAACTCTGTGTAAATCAAAGGAGTTGAAATGAAACTGAATGTGGTAACAACCATTGGTTAGATAAACAAATTAACGGGAAGCCAGATAGTCAGTCAGATTCAGTAAAGTGTGGTATTTATATACATCGGTTCAAATTACAACAACCCATTGGCACAGTAAGATGAAAATGTCAGGGTCAACCCTACAGTAATAGAGCTAGTAACAGTATCAATGGTAACAGAAAGAGTTAGCAACAAAGATAATAATTCAAGAGAATGTAAACTACAGGAATATAAAAATCATGAGGAATTCAGAAGCTCAAAACATGGGAGACTATAAAAAATGAATGAACCTACTCCACTGCAAACGATTTTGAACCATGTCATTCAAAGTCTCTAACAGCTTATCATGACATTCACACAGGCCCCAACCAGGTAGTCTACATCTATTAACACGGCTCAATCCAGTTTTCAATGACTTTATCGATGGTCACCCTTAGCTTTCTTCCAGCCTACCTGCACACCAGAAATATGGTTCATTGAAATAGGTGGTGGCTGGACATACGTCACACATGTCTCAACCACCTTAGTTGATGAAGATTTACTATTTCATCAATCGATTAGCTATCTTTACCTGGTTCTATATTGCTAACCTGAGTATTATTTACTCGGTGGTCTCAAAATACACGAGAAATATTTCGAAGACACTTGTGGTTGAATAATAGCAACCTACAATTAACCTCTGTTCTTAATGGTTATTTTTCACCATCATACAGTAGAGCAATGCGAATTAGTGTAAAGTAAACGTTTCCTTTGATTGTCAGATGAATATCTCGCCAACGGCGCAAGTAATACAAGTTGGCAAAAGCCAGTGGAGACTTCTAAATCGGTGCCGAGATTTCATCAGATACTATAACATCAGGACCGATAAAACTCTCGAAATAAGTGGTGCAGTCGATGCGTTCAATTGGTTCACTATTATTAATTTAGGAGCTGACTCGGGCCAATCCTGAAGCAACATTTCTTAGTTAGAGAGAGAATCGCACCCCAAACATAAGATTAAAGATAAGATGACAAATCAGATCGTAAAATAATAAAATGTACATAATACTTTTGGACAGAGTTATTTGCTTGTCACCACTATGAAATCCCTGAAAACAAACATCAATATCCGTAAACAATTTAAATAATTTTGGAAGCATGATTAGATCGTCATTTAGATACAAGTTTGCGTTAGTTGTAGAACACTTGTTTCCTATAGTTCGTCTTTGAATAAAACTATTAAACGCGAACATAGTTAATGATAAATAAACACTTTCAGCAAAAGAATGATTCAAAAGTATTTATAAGGTTTAATGTGCTATGTGCTACTTATGGAATATTTAAAAATAGCAGGTTGAGATGATCAAATAAAAGAGAACAAGAACTGAAAGTAATTGATATAGAAATGAAAAAACAATGAAGTCTTAGATAATTAATGGAAATTATACAAATGAAGGACTAAACGTATGATTTTCACATTTTATCAAATAACTATAATTTAATGTTGCAGTATAATTGATCGTCTCTACCTGTGTTTTCATTTATTAGGATCAAAAAATAATGTACAAGATATTTGTCTAATTAGTACACATAGGTCTTTTTATATTATTTTGTAATTTTAATTGGAAATTACAGTGAATGGATTAATAAAGCATGAACTATCTAGTTATGAACTCATCATATTCATAGTGAGAATTTAGTCAATTATTTCAGTTGTATAATCAGCTACATGTTAGGTATATTTATTTTTTTATGTGTTAATTGATTAATTCATATTCGTAGATTGATTGAAGTTAGACATTAACACCGTTGAATGGCGGCCGGCTCAGTGGTCTAGAGGATAATCGTTCGCGCGCGAGACCGATATGTCCTGGGTTCGAATCTCTCGTGGTGGGATCGTGGATACGCACTGCTGAGGAGTGCCACAATAGAACGAAACAGCCTCCCAGTGCTTCGTTGTTTTCCATGGTGGTCTAGCTTCAATTAACTCGTGATTTCAACTATTAAAATTAATCCATATGAATGAAATATCTATTTATTATGTGAATAGAATTTAGTATTTGTTCAATAAGGTCATTATACATTTTAAAAATGCTATTGTACATAAGTTACATAATCATAGACTAAATATTATTTAATGATTTATTAAATAAAGAAATAAGATATACAAAGGGGATGATTGAATATTGATTAAGATTAATTTATCGGTAATAATGGAAAGGGGTTTTTTTCTCTAGAATTTAGCAAGAACTAATTCATCATTCCACATTTTTTTTTTGAAAAACATTGCTAAATATTATTGATTAATGTCTCTAGAATTATTATAATATCACTGAAAGTTGTTTAAAGATATAATTGATTATTGATTTGTTCTATTACATAATATTTATAAATAAAGGCTATTCAAAATATAAATCTATGTAAAGTTGAATTAACTAAAACTAATAACAATATAATAAATGATAGAATAACAAAAACTATAATACAAAGTCAATCTGTTAAATTATTACGACAAAAAGTTATCAAATGGTTACATATTCATCAAATATTTATTGAATCAAATAAAAATAATTTAAAACAAATCGATAAAGATCAATACAAATATTCAGAAATTATTTCTAAGGCAATTAATAAAATTATGAATGAAGATGATCAGATTTTATTGGATGATGTTGATATTGATGACGATGAAACTGAAGTTACAATGAATAATACAAATGAAATAATAAGGAAAGATGATGGAGTTATAAGTGAGTTAAAATATTTTTTATTAAATAGATTGCATTATAAAAGAGACTGATAAAGTGTGATATATATTTGTAGAGTTTACACTTAAATGTGAATGATTGTTTTATTTTTCTGTCCATTGTCTATGTACATTTAAGGACTAGATTATATAGCTAATCCGAAACATTATATAACACATGAAATGCATTAAAGTTTAAAATGACATACATACATGTGAAGTGGATTAGTGTATGATGAGTAATGCTGTATTTAAAACACCATCTTTTGATTGTTTCCGTAAGTTTGATAGATGCAGACTACTTGGTTGGGGTCCACGTGACTATCGTAACCAATGGTTGGAGACTCTGAGTGACATAGCTCAGAATCGATCACAATGGCGTCGGTGTATACACTCTTTATCTTCCCTTAAACTAAGAAATTAAAATCACTTCATATCTTTCTTTCTACGAACTAATTCTTTCTTCCTGTATCATATCCTTATATGCAATCTTTCTTTTATATATTACCACCACTGAATTAACTACTTCTATGAATTCGGTGTTCATCTTTCTGTGCTAATGAGGTACGGCAACTTGGTCCTACATTGTATCTGACTAACTAACTGAAGTCTGATAAAACTATCATAATCAAGATCATAAGAATTACTAATAATTTTTCTGATAATGTATATTTTGTCAATTAACAATACAGTTTCTATAATACCTAGTAAGTCTCTGTAATTTTTATGACTTTAAAATTACAGTTTTTTTTATTTCCATTGTAATGATAGGCAGAGAAAATATCAGAACTATTTTGTAGTCTATAAATTAAGCGATAAATGAGAGTTGACTTCATTAAAAACTAATATTACGAGGTCATAAGGTCAATTCCAGAGCCTCATCTCCTTTTAAGCAAACTAATTTTTTCTGTACAACACTAAAAATGCTGACTTGATGTCAACCTTATGATAAGTTTTATTCAAATATTTGGCAACGCGAAACGTTCAAGGTTGTGTACTAAAATTTATTGAAGTCTTGGATATACGGAAACTGAAACCCCCTTTATTTGTTCAAAAAACAATTTGTCCTTACCCTTAATGCTTCTTAAATATATTTACGATCTATCAGAATTAATAAGTTGATATATTGTTTTGAGTGCAGGAAAATCATTGAGTTCATTTCAACCGTATTCTAAAGAAATGAGCTAACCGTATGGGTAAATTTCCTTTCAAGAAATTCATAATGTATTACTTAAAATAAAGTCAAATAACTAAAATGAATTAAACTGCACGTAAATTTATATCATTACAGCAATGCTTAAATGAAGTTGTTTCTTACGCATGCAGATATCTGCATTATTTTTTTTATTGCTCACTTAGAACAATGTAACTAAAATAATGAGATATGGGGAGTTTATAATAGGAAGTCACTCTTAATAATGTCCTGATTTAGTCATGTCACGTTCATGTTCAATACTTCCGATAAACTTTTGATACAACTCTATCATTGGGTTACTCATATATTTTACTAAACTAAAACTAACATAAAGTGAAGATCAAAACAAATGCATGAAAATAAAATTTAAAACAACGTATAACCATACATGTAATTGATAAATAATCACTTGTTTTAGTTAATGTTATATAATGGTGCATTATGTAATCAGAAGAATACAATTTGATTAATTGAAATAAATTATGTTTCAGTCATTTAATCTCTCAGAATTATAGTACTTATTTTAATAGAGATCATAAGTCAAATGAAACTAGACCACCATGGAAAAAAACGAAGCACTGAACGGCCGTTTCGTTTTATTGTGGGACTCACCAGCAGTGCATATCCACAATCACGATCCGCGAGATTCGAACCCAGAACCTATCAGTCTCGCGCGCGAACGCCTAACCTCTAGACCACTGAGCCGGTATCCAATGTTTTTAATGTCTAACATCAACCAACCCACGAAATTGAGCAACACATCAACCACTGGAGTTCAACCAGGTCTGCTACGAGATAGTAACTCACTTAAGACAATGGTGGATGTGTCGCTCAATTTCATGGATCAGTTGAATTTAGACATTAACACCGTTGAATGGCGGCCGGCTCAGTGGTCTAGAGGATAATCGTTCGCGCGCGAGACCGATATGTCCTGGGTTCGAATCTCTCGTGGTGGGATCGTGGATACGCACTGCTGAGGAGTGCCACAATAGAACGAAACAGCCTCCCAGTGCTTCGTTGTTTTCAATGGTGGTCTAGCTTCATTTGACCCATGATCTCAACCATTAAAATTACTACAATATCCACAAAAACTCCTTCTGATAGTACTTATTTTGTTTAATTATAACAAATTCTTATATATCATTGTCCCAATAAGTAATTTCACTACGTTCTACATGATGATTTTTTACCAGTGTTCTTGATTTATGACAAACTGCCAACCTAATTTTCTTTAGAAGCTTTTTTGTTTGGTGATTAATAAATCAGTACTAAGTCAACTATCTAAATAAATTGCCGAAATTTGTATATTGTATGACCAATCACTCAATGTTAATCACAATTAATTATTTGATGAAAGTGAAAAGGTTCTTTAGTGAAAAAAATTCAAATCAAAATGTCTTGAATTGCTATATTATCTAGGCATATCAGTAAGCTTTTTACCACGAATACGTATAAGGTTACATGACCAATTTTATTACGTATTCTTATTTCCTAGTATGCATGAAATCTTCTGTTAAACAAACAACTTTAATTCACTTGATATTATTTGCTGATGAGTCCCAAGTAGGACGAAACGCGCGTCCTGTATTTCACTGCTAGCTACTATCCATCTTTGCTTATAAAGCTTGTATTTTAAAGCGATATCGATGCAGTTCTCATAGGATACACACATCCTACAATAAACTGATCAGTTGCAATCTTTAACAACAATGGTAAGATACAATCAGATAATGTCAAGTGAATTTAAACTTCACCCCATCACACAAGCAGCTGGCTAACAGTATTCAGTAGCTAAGTGGATAACGCGATGGCATTTGAAGCGAATATTACTGGGTTCGAGTCCCAAAGTGAGCATCAACTCTGAGATGCAGGTACATCCAGCTGACGAGTCCGGAGCAGAACGAAACGCACGTGCTGGATTCCACTGCTAGCCACCATAAGTCCTTGGTTGTAAAAGAACTTCAACGTTTTTGTAAGTGATAATTAGCAATGGTCTAAATTTTATATGATAAAACTTATTTATTTACAAAATTGTAATATAAGACTAGAATGAAAGTAATTAGTGCATCAGTGTATAAAATAATATATCCTGAGTAAATGACCGAACAATATATGATTTTAAATTTGACTAATATCAAAAATTTCAGATCTTTATTGGTCTACAGCTATTTTTACACTCAAAACTACTGGATGAGTATTAGAACAAAAATCAGTTAATTCGATAATGGGATTATATCTGGTAATATAGCTTTGAGATAATGAAATAATCAAATATGACAAAAATATTACATTTAAATTAGTAATATCTTAAACGATGAATATAAACTGTACCTCGACGACAGCGTGAACATCTTGCTTTGTTTATCTGAATATCATATTTACACATGGATGGTGACACTTGTTTCGAATTATCGTATATAATGTGACTTGGAGAGCTCTCCACAGTGTCTTGGTATAAAAAGTTCTTGTTCAACCTCACCTTTTGTTAAATTAACTATAAATAAACCTCATTTACCATAAAATTATTCAAATAATTTCATTTACAATCATTTCTTATCACATAAAAAACAATGTATTATAATTCATCGATTGAATTTCAACCTCTCTATTCTTTAGTATCTTACCAAAATACAATACATTATCATTACATTTTAAAAGAGTTTCGAGAAATTTCATGTATTCATGAGTCTCTTTAGGTTCCCAGTGATGTTTTAATGATGAATAGAAACAAATATCAGACAGTGTTCTTAGTGGTTTCTTATCTATATAAATATTTGGTGGTTTAATAAAAATTAAATTAGTACGTTTTCCACTTTCCTCTCTAGTTAATAATTATTGTAGTCCATAATATTGTCAAATACACTAGAAGATTAAGATGTTCTTTTTTCTAAAGAATAAGAAATGAACTTATAATTATAGCTCTTGAACAGGCATAATTCCGAGTTTACATTTTAATGAAATCTCGTACATTCACTGGATCGAGTCATGACAGTATAATTTCACCGAAGATTATTATAATGTTTAAATCTTTGCTTATAACTAACATATATCAAATGCCAACGGATTTTGCCAAATAAGTGAAGTGAAATGGAAATTTCTCAAATCAAAAAATATTGTTTTACTCAGCTATTCATTTCCGTTCATTAACGTTCAATGAATTTCATTTTGCTTATAGGCATAAATCAATGCTTAATTCCTTACTTTATATTTACATGAAGTAATTAACTTTCTTTCGTTAAGTAGTTGATGATACTAAATTCATTTCGAAGCTAATTTTTGCATTATTGACGCATATCATCTGGGGAACCAATGAAAACCAGATAAAAATGGATAGTGGTTATATTCTAGTTTGGTAATAGTAATCAAGATTGTTTCTAGGATATTAGTCATTCATTGTTTAATCTAAAATTTCTGGTTGAAAAGTAGATTTCCTAAACAACGTTCATATACTCGTAATTATAAACTATTTTATCAGAGAAGTACACGTATGATACTGTTTACATAAATGTTGAGATATTGGTTTTGTTATCATCCCATGACATCAAGGAAAGAATTGTAAACAATTAATGCATTATCTGGATTTGTTATGTTCTTTTATTTTCTGAAACAAAGTGTCAATTAACAAACAGACGATTTTTTTTCAATACGTCAAGTGATTTTGTTTCTACATAATGGATCTTTATTGTTATGGTTACTCAAAAACAATTAATCTAGATTACCACTAGACAAAACATAAGTGAATCTAATTAAAAAGGCTTTAGAAGAGTATTTTCTTGTTATATATTTGCTGTAAACGCTTCAATGAATTCAACCAGATGAAACAAAAAGAAAAATACTGTCTCAATCTAAAAACTGTTTA